CTCGACTATGCACTCAATTCGTAATGGCTTATAAGGTCTTCGACAAAGCCTTTCTTTCATTAAACTTCCATTCGATAGAATCAAAAAGGTAAGGGCATTTCTGCCAAGAGCTTTCTGATGAAGGCGAATCATTACGAAGCGACTCTCTGGAGATTTGGTGAACAGTCTACGCTCTCTCGGAAAACTCTTGAAGTACGACTAGTGGATTTCTCATGAGTTACCCTGTTCGCAGAAAAGAAAGAGCGAGCACTTCCGTCTACAGCTTCTCTACTGCTAACGGGCCAATTGGGTAACGTTATCACCTGGTTTTAGTATATTTCCCTATGAGATTCCAAACTTTGCCTTATGAGAAAGACTTTTATCGCCTCGTCAGTCGGCGATCATCTGATTGGGTGAGGGTCCTAGAACGAATAATTGCAATCTGTATCACCATGACACTCGTCTGACGTGACATCGATCGAGAGTCGGGAAGGCCGCACGAGCCAGTAACAGGGCTTCAACTATGCCCCAACCGTCGAGCTCTTGATCGCGAAGGGGTTGCTTTCTAATACCCTTGTGGGCCACTGAGTATTCCTAGGGGAAGAATTCAGTAACCATTTTTATCGTGAACCGTGCTTTCAAGGAAAGTCTGGATGAAGCTTAGAGATAGCAAGGTGTTGGATTGTACGTATTCCGAGGTGGCTGTAAGTCGCAGATGCTTTTATTAGATGACTGAAGAAAACGATGAGAACTCGCCTGCGAATTAGCAGTGAGCTACCTGAAACGTTAAAATGGTGTCAATCACTAATCAAGACTGATGTTTACGCTTTTTCAGTTCTAGCATGCACAACTAGCTTATCGCCCGCACTGCTGTTCAGTTTCTTAACTTTGCTAAGGATATATTCTCAAAGAAAATGCTTTCAGGACATTATTGAAATTCAAAAGGATGCTATATCAGTTGGTTGGAAGGTCGTAATAATAGATGATTTGTTGGCAACAGGTGGAACCTTGAAGGTGAGACTAATACGGGAAGGTTTCACGCGGAAACAGAAGCACAGCNCAGGCAGCTGTTGATCTGATTGAGAAAGCAAAAGCTACCGTGTCGGAAGCATTCGTAGTGATCGAACTGACTCCCCTTCGAGGGCGAGAAAAAGTCCCGGGAATTCCTGTCTCCGCTCTCATACTTTATAATCAGGCTTGATTGTGCATTTGTATGTTATTTAGTGTAGCCGCATGTTGTGATTTCTTCACATGGGAGGTGGTATAGTGGCTTAATTTGTCCTTTTTTATTTTTGCAGAATATAATATTGACGTAAACTCAGGGTTGGCAAGACTGGAAATGGTCTAGCATGAGGGATGGGATGAGTTTCTGTGCTTTGTCAAACATGTTGCCATGATGCTATGCTGCAAAATTAGGAAGTTTAAGCGTGCAAACTTTTTGCTCAAGCTGGAAAATTGTGAAACAGAGGCATGTGGTGCCATCACATGAGATTGTTCAGCAGATGCGATCTTTGGTGTGTAGTTTCGAAATTTGCTCATTTTCTAATCCATCACTTAATAAGCTGTGATACTTATTGAGCTTTTGTTTTTGTTAGTAATCCTAGTTATGCGTTTAAATAATTATTGCAATAAATAAATCAGGTTCATTTTTGCATCTCTTTGGAAGAACATTACATCATTTGGTTCTTTATAACAAGGTCATGAAGGTTGCAAATAGAATGGCTCGCCTCCATTTTGTGAATGCAGTGGGCAATAAGTTTCGTGGTGAGGCGTAAAGCGCAACAATGAATGGGTTAGGGCTGAATAAGTTTGCTAAATCGCTAGGTAAGACTGATTTAGCTATGCTCCATCTGTCGTAGCGATCCTGAACCATAGAACTGGAAATTCCAGCCCCAATTGATTGTGAGGTAACTAGTTTAAGTGAAATAATGAAAGTTCTGGTACAGAACGGTGGAAAGATGGTGATGAAAGTGCAAAAACCGACTGATTTCAAAAATGTAGAGGCTGAAAACTGTATCGGAAAAGGGGTTGTACGAGATTATGACAAGAGAAGAAGAGCTGTCTACAGATTTCAAAGATGGCAATTTGCCTTCCACTGGGATATCCGTAGGATTGACGTTATAGTTTATAACACAAAAAATTGCTTCCTTGAAATTGATAAAACAGGCGTTGACTTCGTGACGTAACCGTTAACATATTTCCCACATAAGTGCCCTATTATTCGGTGCCCTAACGCTCCATTGAAAAGGGTATAGCCTTAACAGCCTTAACTAGATTGTCATGACACATCCACTTTTGGGTGTGTACTTTGCGGACCCCAATTCGGAGCCTTGTCTGAACAACTTAGGCCCGCCAATCTCCTATGTACTTTGTAGGTCAATGGTTTATCCTGGAGAGAAATTCTCAGAAATCCTTTTTGTCATTAGCTGTGCATCTGAGGCTTATGGTAGTATCAGACTCGATGAACCATTTATCGCGTGCAAGAAATAAAGTTGAACGGTAATGGACTTTTAGAGAGAGAGGAAGGGAGAGAGAGAGGGAGAGGGGGGGGGGGGGGGGGGGGGGGGGGGGGGGNNGGGGAGGGAGAGAGTGAAAAAGAGAGGAAACAGCGAAATAGGAAAATAGCAGTGACGGGTGTGCCTGCCTTTCTCTTATTCTTTTCTCCCTTCCCCCCTCCCTTCGCCACAAATTTTTTACTCTTAACTGAATCCATTGAATCATTCAGTCAACTCGCTATATTTCTAAATATATTTCTAAACACAGTGTATCGGTTATCTCTCCTAAGTTGGAAGTACTCCGAAAAGGACTGACCATCTGCGCTTTTCTTTGGAATGCTGGAGAATCACCACCTGCGAACTCCGTATATAAGCACCTTAGCCTAACACTCGTTCGATCGTCGTTTTACACATTTTCAGGTTCATTAAATTTTATACAGAAATATAAATCTCGTTTTTTTCTTTTACTCATGAGAGGTCCCTCCTTAGGGATTCTGATACTTCAGCGAATAGGGTTGGCTTTAGTTACGGCTGTCCTACAAAACACAGTAATTTACATGTTCATATAGCAGAATAAAACACAATCAATAAAAGAAGGAACAGTTGAAGAGCAAAAGATCAAACAACGAGGTCCACCACTGGGTCGAGCATAGAGAGAACCGCGGGGAGGTCGAGCCGTGATAGAACCTGGACACTTAGCCCTTCCTTAATATTCGGATTTTACTTAACTCACGAATCACTGAGGTTCGTCTCATCAGCACTCGCTAAGGGTGCTATAAATGTCGGGCGTGTTCCAGGGCACGGAGTCCACAAACTCCGTGGGGGTAGGCGGTTGGCGGCGGGTGGGGAATAACTGGAGACGACCTCTCGCTCCCGAGGGTTCTTGTTCTTCGGCGGGACCCCTCCTACGCGGTTCTCTCTGTCCCTTCCTGACACTCAAGTTTGAGGTACCTGGTAATGATGGTTATTATGGTATAATAAAATTAGCGTTACTTATCGTGCGGGTCATGTTATGATGATATTTAATCACTATACGCGCTATACGCCACAACTTAGTCTTCAAAGAGCTATTCTCGAGATGGGATAATCAAATGACATCCATGTTCAGTAGATTCCTTGTATAATGAGCCTACCCTATCTTAAAAAGACGAGGAACGAACGGCACAGATACGCCGCTACTATCTTCGACACGCCGTACCCGACCAAAGAGTACAGGTGCGGTGTCAACAACGTCTACCTTCAACGCAGTAAGGCAGTCAAAAATGGTGCTCTTCTACCTGATGACCGTAGACTATCTCGGGGTTATTGCAACTCCTCATACTCTTCTTAAGCAGATTTCGTATTCTGATGGAGGAGTCTCAGTGTCAAAGACTCATAAAAATGTCTTTTGACATCCGTACTGACATTCTTGCATGTGATATGACAGCCTGACAGCCAGGAGCGGTCAGTTTTGGCCGAATCCTCTCCTGAATATAAACTCCAGGACTACCAGATCATGCCAAATTGGAGCATCGGAAGCGAGGTAGCTGCAGTAGGATCAGTTTGCCATGGTTTAGACTTCTGTTAGAATATCGAATGTTGGTTCTGTCTGCAGATTCTCTTCAATCTTGAATGCTGGCCGATTGAAGCAATATCGATTTTACTTCTGAGTCATTATTTCGTCGTGCTACATTCTAATGATCATAAGAAAACCTAATGACTAATTCTCCACAAAATATATATTGTGCTGGCCTGCCGACTGTCATGAAATCGTTAGTCAAATCTCGAATCGCACAAGTCATCAGAGCTGCATTTGAAGAGGAGATAACTAATTGTAAGGCAGAAGATGTTCCACTGCCCGAATGAGTATTTTTATTAGTCTTTGCTTTGTTGTTGGGCTTTTTCTAACACTGAAACTGTTCCTTGGAGTGCTCCTTCATGGCATTCAAGATGACAGTCCAAACGAATCAGTCATCGTTCACTGGACATTTGGGACAGCATTTGAAATGATCCAATGTGCCGTCATACATTGAAGTGAGAAGATGATTGTGGCTGTGGCAGAAGCTTCGCTGTTCAATAAAGGTCGAAGGGTCAAATTATTGCCAAGCCTTCGAAGCAACCATCCTTTTGATCACGGTGATCGGCAGTTGAGTCATCCATTCCTCCCAACTCCTTTCATATTGTGATTATAGAGTTCCGCTGGGCATATGAATTACACTATCATTTTCAAATGGTAGCACAATGCACGACGTATGCCAAAGCGATTGAAAGCGATTGATTTTCCTTAAAGCTATTTTTTCAGAATGTTTCTCCATATATGGAACTGTAGTCAACTATTGTAATGACATACACCATATTGTATAATAGTTCCCGCATACCCTGGTAGAGGTCGAGTGAACATTTTCAAAAGAATCAACTTTGCATGAGAGCCAAGGGCTTGGTTCGGAACAGAGAATGATCGACCAAGCGCAAGACTGTTTTATTCAACGTCGAAGTTTTCTATCTACCAGCTATCCAGTAGCGGTGAGTTCATTTGTTTCACCCTTTTTAGTCGCGTGTCATCTCGAACTGTAAGGAGTGAGGACATGAGAAATTGAGTTCTTGAGAAGAAACCAAGTGTCTTGGCTGCCGTGTATTGGATTGGAGCCTCCAGATGGTGAGAGTGTAACAGGAACAGAAAAACAGGACGTGCACAGTTCTTGAATGCGGGTATAAAGTGGTTAGAAGACATTAAGGGGATATGGTAAATTTCTGACCCGAACGGCGTTTGCACAGGGTTGGGCGGGGCTAAGGTTGGAAACTCATAACTCTGTTTACTAGACGTTTCAGAATGCGAAGAAAATGATAAGGGGCAGCCAAGCTAAGATGAACTGCCAAGCTTAAAGGGATGGTCAAATTTTCATGGTGGGAGGGATCTGTACTGAGGTGGACGGAGCTACGATAAACCACTAATAGTACTGCTCAAATGAAAATATCAAATGATGCTCTCAGCAGATCAGCGTACAAATCTAGGATTCTGATAATCCAACCGCTGAATGACTCCGTCGTAGACGAGTGGTCATGGACATATAATGCACGCGTTAGCGTCCATAGCCCAACTGGTGCAACTTAAAGTAGGCTGCCATTACCAGTAATCCCAGCCCATTCTGTTCCACCACGCTGGCGGTCAAACCATTATTCATGGAACATAATTTTTTGTCATTCTGATGCTAGCGCCGCTGTGGTGATGAGTTAATTTTCATCGAGGCGAACAGAAAACCATTTACTGAAAAGGCCCTTCATGCGATAAGTCATTTGCCATCTTCCCGTTCTTCGACCGGCAGGTTAGTGGAAGTTTCTTCCAGTAAACCCATCAAATCAGTGTGCTCTAAGAATTGAGCTTTCTGTAATCATATGGGAGAGTTACGAATACGAATTGGTTCTCAAGAGCGCTAATCCCCTTTAGCTGGTCGTGGTCAAAAGCTGAGACCGCTGGTAGCATTGCCTCGAAGCGGCACACAGAAGCCACACTACTTTTTGTAGACTATTGTGGGCTTCTGTGAACGTCGTTGGCTATTCAAGCAGCAGCCCCCGAGACCGAAATTGAATATTTACTTCGAGCTCGATTGGTCAAGGAACCGCTTTTGCCCTGCTCGCGAAAAAGATTTTCTTCCTACTCGGCGTTTATTTTCAATCAGATATCTGAGGCCTTTTCAGCAGGACCCACCGTCTCATAGCGATGAGCTCC